AGAGAGGTGGGGAAGACAGACAGACTGAAACTAAAAATGAATGAGAAGGAACCAGGCTTCTCCTGGAGCTCCTTCTGATGCCAGCATGGGTAAATGACCATAGGTAAACCACCAGACTTCTTCAGACTCATTACCTTCATTTTGTGGTAGGCAGCTAGACCTGTTTGAAAGCCTCAAGTCTACAGCCACTCTTGGGCATTAAACCATCTCACTATTGATTAGATAGAAATCAGATTTTAAAGTAAGGATAGCAACAGCGGCAAATGAGTCCATCTGAAAAGAAAAAAAAGTGTGGCGGGCACCACTCTTCAGCAGGCCTCTTCTTATCCCTGGGGGGGGGGAATTTACATATATTTAAAACCTGAAGAGGGCCAGGTGTGGTGGCCATGCATCTGTGAACATCACTTGGAGGCTAAGAGAAGAGGATTGAGAGTTCAAGGAGAGTCTGAGCTACCCAGTGGCCTCCTGCCAACCTGATGCATGCAGCAAGCAAGACCCTGTCTCAAGACAACAACAAAACAAATAAAAATAGTACCATCTCTAAAACCTAGAAAGTGGAGAACACAAAACAAATCAGAGCTGACTGTAGTTGCAAATGCCCCATGAAGCCACACAAGCTGCCTAACCTAACTCCAGTGCTCTTGCTGTCTTCTCCCCGGGTGACACTGTTCACTCTGGCAGACCCTTCTATACTTTTCTGCAAGTACACAGTTGTGTGCCCACAGAGACTCATAGAGAGAGAAACACAGGTCTCCTATTTCCCTTTCATAAAAGCAAATCAGAGAAATGCAGCAAATATGTACCCCCAAAACTCTACTTTGCACATCATTTTTCATGATCCTGATAAATTCATAGAATAACCCTTAGTATCCCCTTCAGGCTGTCTTCAATTAATAATTGATTTCAATTAATAACTCAGTGATTGTAGGTCCGAGGAGAGATTGTAGGCACTGGGGAGATTTCCGGAGATCTACAAGGATGACAATCTAGGCAATGGTGGAGAGGATACCCTAAATTCCCTTCCCCTATAATGACATTGATGACTACTTTTTATGCCATCCTAGAGCCCTCATCCAGTGACTGATGGAAGCAGAGGCAGACACCCACAGATATACACTGAACTGAACTCTGGAACCCAGTTGTAGAGAGGGAGGAATGAAGATCAAAGGGGTTGGGACCAGGCTGGTGAAGCCCACAGAGACAGCTGGCCTAAACAAGGAGGAGCAAATGAACCCCAGATGCTGTCTGGGAGGCTAGCACAGGACTGATCCAGACCCCTGAACATGGATGTCAATGAGGAGGCCTCTGTACTCTATGGGGCCCCTGGTAGTGGATCAGTATTTTGCCCTGGTGTAAGAAGGGACTTTGTGAGCCCATCCCACGTGAAGGGATGCACTCTTGGCATGGACACATGAGGGAGGGCCTAGGCCCGGCCCAGGATGATGTGGTGGACTTTGGGGAGCCCCCGTGGAGGGCCCTACCCTGCCTGGGGACTGGAGGTTGGATAGGGTGAGGGGCAGGTGAGGGATTGGGGGGGGAGGACTGGGGAAGGGGAGGGAGAGGGAGAGGGAGAAGTGATTGACATGTGAAGCAAGCTTGTTCCTAATTTGAACTAATAAAAAAAAATAAAAAAAAAAGTGTGAAGGAAGAGTCAATACTTAAGAGTTAGAAACTATCACTTATACAAACTATAACAAGGAAGGCTCAGATATGGGAACAATAGAACTAAAGACATCCCACTTGCACAGGACCAACTTAAAACTCCCTCAGGAAAAAATGCCTTGTGACTAAAGAGATGGAGGGTTTGTTATACTCAGATGGAAGCCAAGGCATTCAGAGAAAACTTCATGGGCACGAATAGCAATTTTTAAAAGGCTCGTCTAAAGGAATGGAAAATCCACACTTGAAAGAGACCTCCCTGTTTTGTGAACTATGAGGAACTGGTTTTATAACGACTAGATTGTCTGACCTACAGGAGCATGTACTTACAGTGCTACAGCTATCTCCTCACTCCCAGAGCTGGCTGCACTGAACACGCATGCTCCCTTGTGCACACATGCAAGGCTTTTCCAGAACAAAATCCTGGGCATTGATTCTTGAGCCCCCCCCCCCCCCCCCCCCCCCCCCCCCCCCGGCCGGCGGGGGGGGGGGGGGGGGGGGGGGGGGGGGGGGGGGGGGCTTCTGCTGGTAATCCCAGACCCTCAGCCAATGCAGGGGTGGGAAGAAGACCCATAGCATCTGTCTGGGCCAAGTGAGGCAAATGAATTTACTCTCAGTACACTCAGAAGCTTCACAGTAGGCCCTTTCTCAGATCCTCTATACAACCTCTCTCGGAATAGCTCCTATAGCTCCCAGGTGCAGCCTCTTTCTAAGGCAAACCCGCCCCCCCAAGGCTGGAGAAAAACTGCAGTCTTGGGGAAAAGCCCTGGGGTGGTAGAGGAAGCATACTGCCCCTTCACCTCCCTGATTGGCTTCTCCACAGAGCTAAGTCTCAGGTACAGGTTCCTTTCATATGGTTGTCTCAATCACAGTCTTAGCTTTCATGGGACCCAGTCACATTTGTGGGAAAACACGCTCAGAACAGGTTGCTATTGCTATCTGGCGTCTGCTCTTAATCAAAACCCTTTCCCCGTCTCTGCCAGCCTAACCTGATTGTTCTCCACCTAACCTCCTCCACCAGCACATAATCTACTCAATTCATTCCCACACACAGATTAACCACAGCAACTATTCATTTCCATGCTTACCTCCCTCCAGGTATGTTCCTGATTTTTCTAATTATAACGAGTACCTGTGGCATTTGTTGAGATACACCACCCAGCCTCCACCCACCAGGATCTGATTCAGTGACTGTTGGGTGGGCCCCAAGAGTGATGTTAATGAGAAACCTATTTTTTTCTTTCTATCAAAGGCACTGTGATTATAACCTACACTGACACGTCAGATGGACTAGTAGATATTACCCTTAAAGTCACACTGGGAAAGAAACATACACCAGTAATTTCAAATGCCACCCTATCTATGCTTGCCCAGAGTTTGCCCACTATAGTCACCTGATAGGGAACATAAGCTGATTTAGATGTCTCAAAGAACAGTGAGAGATGCCAAAAAGACCCATCAACCAGGTCTCTGGAAATCTGAATTCTCCACTGACATTAAATTATCAAAGCTTGGGCAGGTTGTTTGGCCTGTAAATGCTTAAGTGTTGCAAGATATTCTGTTCTTAGATTACTATACTGTTTGACCCAGGAGATATACTTTTAGGAATTATGCTAAGGATTAGCCAGGCAAATGTAGACAAATAGCCATCATGTTAAACAGTATGGCAGCACACACCTATAATCATGCCATGTGGGAGGTAGGGGGTTGGGCAGGAAGATCACTAGTTCTAAACTAGCCTGGGCTACATAGCAAGGCACTGTCTCAAAAAATGTATTTATCATGTTGTTTAAAACGATGAAAACTGGAAACACATTTAACATCTATCAATAAGGAAGTTAAATAAGTATTTGCTTATCTAGACACTAACTTTATAACCCTTAAAAAATGACTATACTGTGATATGGGAATGAGTATATGTGACACAACCATATAAAAGAGTATATGTTATACATGACTATACAACCCTAAATGGCTATATGAGATACAAGAATGTTGTAAGTGGTAACAGGAGGCTGCAAAACAGTGTTTAAACTTTATCTCTGGGTCTTGTTTTTGTTTAAATTACATATTATGGAGTTTGTGGCCCTTGGGGAAAGACCATAGATGCATTCCAATTATAATGAAAAGGTTTATTGATTAGCTGCCAGTGGGGTAACAGTCTTAAAGCCAAATCTCAGCCATTATGAAGGAGGAAAATTCGAAACGTTTTTTTGGGGGTTTTTTGTTTTTTGTTTTTTAAGAAGAAATCTTCAATTACTACACAAGCAAGCAAAAACTGGCCTATTATGCCAAGTTAAGTGTGTCTGTGTAAGTTTACAGAAGCCCAAAAAGCAATTAGTCATTCATAACAAGTAGATGGTCATAGCTGCACATTTCAGGAGGTGGGGACTGGGGGGGGTGTCATTGTGTCAGGGTAACTGAGAACTTATCTTCCAGGGACTGGAGTCAGAGACAAATGGCTGGTAGGTTCCAAGATGGATGCCTAACATAAAATGGAGTTTCTTTGGCTACCACATGTGATACTTACAGAAAACGCCTGTGGCATTTCATGATATGTGAACATTATAGGGAGCAAGTTTAAAAGTCACTGTCTCTCTTCTCTCTTTTTGGGAAGGATTGTTTCCAGAGTAGGACCTCGTGGCATAGTTGACCTTCAGCTTGTGGTATAACTGACCTTTAGCTTGTGGCCTTCCGGGATCAGCCTGAGTGCTGGAATTACAGAAGAATTACTCCAGGCTTCTGCACTCTTACATGTCTTTTTCTTTTCAGCAAGCTTAAACTTTTGTGTGGACGTGAGTCCACATCCCTGTTTCTTTAAATCCATTTTTTTAAAGTACTTCATGAGCATTACCCGAGTGACCTCCGGCTTCCACAAGAGTCAGGAAATGGGGCATCTGGGAGCAAAGGTAGGGGTGTAATGGCCTTATTTACTTAAATTTATTCTTTTGTAACTGTCTCTTTCTCCCATGCAGCACCCACAGCAAAGCTTTAGTGGTATGAAAAAAGTGCCACTCTTTTGAACCCAAACATCCTTCACTATACTGGAACTGTAAATATCTTGCTGATAAGATCTGAATTCCCCTCACCCAAAATCCTGGGATGGGCCACCAATTTACTCACCTAGGGCCAATTTCAGGGAACCCTGGTTTTACTTCTGTCCTGCAAAAGCTGCTGGAGGCAAGTATAAGGGAGGGCAGGTGGTGCTTTTTTCCCCAAATACCTCCTTCTCAGCTGGGCTGGGTGATCCAGGTGCCCCCAATGGTGAGAGGGTGGGATCACATCCTATCTTCAGCTATAACAGTGAAAGCTGCGCACACAGCCTCGGTGTGGCTTCCAACATGGTTTGGAGGTGGAGGAGAGAGTCTGTAAGTCTTCCATGCTTCAGGAGGTGAGTCATTCTGGGAGTGAGGGTGGAGAATGCAATGGCTTTATTTGTTGAAGTTCACTTTTCCTTAACCCATTCCCTCTCTCTCATCTAGCACCTACAGGTCAATTTTTCTTTTATTTGCCCTTGGGTCTTCAGTAAACTCATTAAGTCTTCCTCAGTGGAAGGATCCTGACTTCCCAGGTATGTCTCTTGGGTGAGAGAACCCTCCTACTGAAGAGAACAGGCTGCAAATGGAATAGTTCATCACCTTGTCCCAACTTTCTTCCCTCTTTTTCTCTCTCCCCATCCTTCTATAACAGGGACTTGCTGTGTAGCCTAGTGTGGCCTCAGTCCAATGTCTCAATCCATCTGCCCAACCTTCTTGATGCTGGCTTTTCTGGTGTGTGCCTAGCTTAATGACTTATCACTCCCTTCTTACGTTAGTTAAGTCACTAAAGAATTTCTCCTTCATATCTGTGGGCTTGCTATGTCAGCTAGATGCAAGAGTTCAAAACAACTTCTGTGCTACTTCCCAACCCCTTGCTGTTTTGCATTTTCTGGTACCTAGCTTAAGCTATATGCTTCATAATCTTCTTCTATGCTCTAAGCTTAAAGCATCAGCATCAGACACAAGGACTCTTCTGAAAAAGTTTAAGACTCTCCCCTGAGTCAGAGGCTTCAGAAAGGCAGGTCTTGGCCAGAGTTTGGTCTTGGGGGGAGAGGGGGAGAATCCTGGGGCTTACCCAGGATTTTCTTCTTAAAGCTTTAATTTGGAAGAGTGTAGGGCAAGTTTCTCCTTCTGAGACCTACTATGCCTGCAGCCGGCAGCTCCCTGTCTAGGTTTCTGGCCTTGACTTATTAACACTAAGCTGGGGTTCTCCTTGGGGAGCCCTGAGTGAATAGGAACATCTTACAGCTCTGACATCTTGCGTTGCATTTGTAAGTATTGATCTGTGAGCTCCCTAAGGGTAAGAATGTCCTTCCTCCCTTTCTTCAACCAGCAGTCATTCTTCCATGCTGTCGAGGAAGACGGTGTTTCCACACTTAGCTGTAGGAATAGTGTCTCCTGTAAGGAATAGTTTCTCCTGTAACTCTAAAGTCTTCCAATACTTCATCTGTTCTCCAGTCACTGTCACTTGCGATGAAAACGAAGTGAGACTTAAGTTTCCAAGCAGTTTTGACATGGAAAAATGGCAACCTTCTGTGGTGGGTATGTAATATGTACTATTTAATCTTTTAAAAAATATTTTAATGATTTTTCCTTTTTTAAATTTTTTATGTGCATTGGTGTTTTGCCTGCATGTATGTCTGTGTGAGAGTATCTTATCCCCTGGAACTGGAGTTACAGTTATGAGTTGCTACATGGGTTCTGGACATTGAACCAGGGTCCTCTAGGAAGCACAGGCCCTGCATTTAACCTCTAAGCATCTTTCCAGCCCCTGTACTATTGAAACTTATTTCCACTTTGTAGAAAGCAGGACCACCTATTTGGGTACACAAGAGTCCAACCCCTATGGCAACTGGCATGTCTCCCCTGGTGTTATGGGTATCCCGATGCCACCTAGAGGGGAACACCCGTCTTTCCTGGGTAGAATGACTTATCTGGGATCCTCTGGGAAACTTCCCCATGTAAGTCACAGCACACAAAGTTGAAATCACATCACCAAACTGGGTCATAAGTGATAGAAGTGCCTTAAGATGTGGATATGAAGTCCTGGCTCAGAACCTTCAGTTGGTTCTGACACTGGAATATATTTCTTGGTTATCTGTATTCTCTAGATACCTCTGGTGATAAAATTTTGAACTGCACTTATGCCCTGGACTCAGAAAAGCTCATCATGAAGTTTCCTTATGAACCCTGTGCTACAAGCGTAGTAAGTGCTTTTGAGGAGTGATTTGGGGAGTAGGAACCTAATCATTTACTGGTATTAAACTTGATGGCTAAGTCTAGTTTGAAATAGAACAGTAGACTCCAATCAGAATGACTTGTTCAATTGGGTTAGTAACATACCCAATACATTGATCACACCTAGAAACATTTTAGAGATAGGATGGACTCTGCTACTGGCATCAGGGTGGGAAAAAGTCAAGGATATTGTCACGTAGCTTATAGTGCCCAGTCGAGGTGAAAGGGTCTGAAATACAGTGTCGAATAAGCCCAGTGCTTGTGCTAGTCCCAGGTTTGACTTCAAGTAAGCTACCTAACCTTGCTAAGACTCTATTTGCTTATTGGAAAATTGGAAAGGCACTGCCATCTCCACAGGGTATAAAGACGAATGATACTATAGAGGTGAAAGCAGGGCACACCACTTAGATAAAGCAAATGTTTGGGCATGGTGCTATTTTAATATAACCCCTGTGTGAGATGGAAGGCTATTTTTGGTGCTAGCAGATAGAGGACTAGCTTAGGAACAGGTGTTAAAAAGCAAACAGTTGCTAAGCAATAAGGGTTTCTCTATTGCCAAGCAACAGGATTGCCCAATTAGGGTCATTAGAAGTAATAAAAACTGCCACATGGCGGAAGTTCTCAAGCTTTCAGTGCAAAGAAACACCTAGGGGTTCTGGGTGTGTTGAAGGGTTCCAGCTAATGTGGGCGTGGGGTGAGTCCTGGGAACCAAATGTCACATCATCTGGCCCTACAGTGTAAGCTTTGTGTATATCCATAGACCCTGATTTCTGAGCAGTCATCTAGTCCACTAAGACCTTCTGTGGTGGCTCAGGAAAGTAATCGCAGATCTTTTATGAAAATCTGTACTGATTTAAACTTCCTGTTATTCTTTGACGTTTCATACATGTATACAGTGTGTGTTTATCACATCCACCCCTCACTCACCCCTTCTAACTTCTCCCAGGACTCCCTATCACATATCCCTTCCAACTGGATGTCCTCCTATGAATACAGGCCTTCCAACTGCAAGAAGCTTAGAATTGCATTCCCCTGGGCCCAGTGTCTAACTGCAAGCTGTGAATGCCAAATCTAATCTCCTAGCCTTAATGTGGTTTGAATTAAGAACGGATTTTAAAGTTAAAATGATACAAATTCCAAGAGTTACTATTCTAACATCTAACAGAAAATTAATAGCAATTCTCTTGCCTTATAAAGTTCCCTGAGGTCAGAGGTAACAGATGGCTTCACCTAGCACAAGGGCTTCTACTTAGTTACAAAGTAGGTATATTTGAATAACCTGTATAAATGTCTGGGACTAGACAATGATTCCCAACGTAAGACAACAGAACATAATAAAAATGTAACAGAAAAGCAGGCTCTATCCCTGATGCTTGAACTCTCTCTCTCAAACTGTGAGTCTTACAAGGATATCTCAAAGAGCTATCTATATAGTCTCCTGGCAAAGGAATAAAGCACCTTCTATGTTCTTCTATATAATGGTCAGACTGATAGTCTTCTAGAATTGCCAATTTCCTCACTTGTGCTATGTTTGTACACACAGTTTGGTGGGTACCAGGTGACCATCAGGGTCCAGGACAACAGTACTGACATAAAATCAGGCATGCATCATTTCTCCTGTCCGTTTATGAAAACGGAGATCCACGAGGTTTCAGAAGTCGTAGTCTGCACAAAGGACTTTGTATCTGTAAGTGAAGTGGGATGACTGCCTCTCCTCCGGCTATAGCAGGGGAAATGGAATGGTGTTGTGGACATAGCTGGGCTTAGTAGCTGGGTGGACCTCGGTTTGATTCTTACTATATTTGCTGTGTGATGGATTTTCTCAACTACGCTGAGACTTTGTTTCTAAGGCTAAAGTGGAAGAACAACAGTCACCTGGCAGGGCAGCTCTAAGAGCTGAGTACACACACAGCATTGAGCATAGCATGCCTAGCAATAGAAAAGGCTCAAGTCTGCAGTCACTGATACTCGTACTATTGCCTGATACCACATGCCAGGCCCTGTCTTCAAACTAAAACATAGTAAATAGACAAACCAGCCTCTTTGCATTTGTGTTTGTACTCAATAGGCTCATGTTGACAATGGACCACTAAGTAGTAATAGTTGTACTTTTGTCATGGCAGCAATGGCTTGATGCTGTACTTGGTTCTGTGCAGATAATAAAGGTTGTGTGTTTCAGAACCTAGCATTTCAACTTGTAATTCAAGTCTACCTTTTGCAATGCCTTTTGATACTGGACACCCAAAGGGGTAAATCCAAGGGCAGGATTGGAAGACACATCTGGCCATGTGCTCTTCCTACTGCATGGCAGCAGCCAGGCTTCTTGGAAGAATGGCATTGATTAATTTTTATGTTAAAATCTGTGTTTTCTGAAAAATAGATGGCAGAGCTTCAGAAACTTTTTTTTCTTTCCAGTTTTCCTTCCCATATGTTTTCTCTAAGCTTGCTGATGATGATCAGGTAAGAGTACAGTGTTGTTTTGTTTGTTTGTTTGTTTTTGTGTGTGTGTGTGTGTGTGTGTGTGTGT